TATTATTTTTGTACATGATAAATATATGCTATGTTAAAAATATAAACTTATTTAATTTTGATAATTTCGGTACTTTCGATTCAGTATCAGTATTGCAAAGTTTCGTACTGAAAATTTTCAGTAATTACCAGTACCAATACCGAAAAATATTTTCGGTATCAGTTTTATGAAATACCGTACTGAATGGTACTGATCGAAACCCTATTCAGAAGTGACTTGATTAAGGAGATTAGTCCAAGTGCTTTTTCATCTTATCACTAGACCTTAGATCATATTTCCACTGGCTTATGACATCTTCTGTAAAACTGTAATCCTTCTTACTATCTGTGGCTAGTTATTTTTCAAACCAATTAGGCTCTGTTTCAGATTGGGATATTCTAGTTGGAGTTCTAACTATTATTAAAAAGAGAGGATTAGGTTTGGTTAGGATGGGATACAGCCCAGTCTATATGTCCAAATACAAGAGAAGTCTTGATTAAGGAAGTTAAACACATGCCTTTTGGCTTACCATGTTGTTTAACTACTATTGACATGCTTCTGGCAATCATCGTAGCACCACCCAGATGATTGTCATACTACGATACCTTTTATGAAGATTACAATCTCAACATTCACTGTATTAGCATATAAAATAGCTTCTCATGAAAAACAGCACATAACAGGTTATGGTGCCAAGTACCATGTAGATTCTATTAAATTGCCTTTACCTGGAATTATATTCAATAATTCTTAATTACAACTAAATTTAATTAAATTTAGTTTTTTTAAAAATTGCAAGCTGAAAACAGATTAAAGTATAAATGATTACATAAAAGAAAGTTTTCGGTTTAATTTTTATAAAAGTTTATTAATTTAAATTTAATTGAAATAATAAACTTTATTATATACATGTGGTATAAATTATTTGTTGTAAACTCAATTCCTATAATTTTTAAAAATAATTATATTATATCTTAATTATTTATATGTTTTAATAGTAACTCAATCAATTGTGCCAAATAATTATATCAATTGTATTAAGGATTTATGAATTTTAGCAACATGTATACTTTATTAAACATTTTAAAAAAAATAAATCTAAGCTGTTCTATTCTATATTAGAACTTAAAGGTCTATTTCAAGAATAGTATTATTTTAAACTTAAAAATATAGATCAAAAGAGCAAGGTTATTAGTCACAGATAATAACAATTTAGACAAAAATTGTTATAACCAAATATATCTAGTAATAGTTTTTAAGATTAAATTAAAATCAAACAAAGATAAAAATTTTACAAGTAATAAAAATAGCAATACAATATTATACTAATAGTATATTTTAGAATTAGTAATAACAATAACTGGAATATTGAGATTAGTTTTTATAATAATATTTTATATAATCTTTTTCTGATAAGTAGTCAAAAAATATGATTGAATCAATAAAAAGAATATGTTTAAACTAGTAATAGAATTTTCTTTCTTCTGTATAAATCTTACTTAAAGATAAGTCCATTTATTTAATACAAGCTGAATAAACTGAAATAGTTTGATTTGTTTAAAAAAAACCAATAATATTGGAAATTATATCTATTAAATAATATTAATTTATATTTAGAATAGAAATAGTCTAGCTTGATTTGACAGCTTAAGTCAACTAAAAACCTATGGAGTGTCTGTTGGAGGATTTAGAAGTCACATCCTATTTGGTCTATAGATCTACAGATTTTGTAGTATGTGCTAACTATAGAAACAACTTTTGGAGCATTTACTAGAAAATGTAAAAAAGTAAAACCACAAATGCCATAAAAAATTGAAGCTGATAATGGGAAGTAATAAGAACTATAGTGATGGTTAACAGAAAAAAAATGCACTCTGAATAAACTACATCTAGTGTGTGAATCCACTTTTGTAGTGTGAGTTGGTACACAAATTAGAAAAAGAAGTGGTGTTAAGATTAGAGTAACTAGAACTAGTTTAGGATAATTAGAATTAGTTAGTTAGATCTTTTATATAGTAATTGTAATTTCAATGCTAAGTTAATAAAAAGTTCACATGTAATACATTTTTCCTCCTTAAAAAATAATAATAAAAAGAAATAATTTAGCTTGTAAAGAAATTTGAATTAATGATAAAATATTTATTATTAATAAAACTTTATATTTTATGTTCTTAGTCAATTTAGAAAAACATTTAATATTAATAAAACTTTATATCTTATGTCCTTAACAAATTAAGAAAACCATTTAATATTTATTGATATTAAGAATTAAGTATTAAAAAATCATTATTCTATTTAATAATAATAAATAACTAAATATATTTTTAACAAATAAATTATTTTTTGTTTAATATAAGTAGCCTATTTAAATGACAAGCTAATATATTATTTCTGGAAAAACATCAATTATTCAATATTAAAATTATTTTGATTCATATTAAATATATGAAAAATAATTATAATTAGTATTGTACTGTAAATAAGTTAACATTAATTTGGAATTGTTAACATGTAAAGATGTTTCATTTAATTTGTGTAACATATATACAATGATAAAATCTTATATCTAATGCTTTTTTATAATAATAAAAAAAAGATATAATATATAATAATATCTTGTATATCATGTTTTTTGACAATAGTGATGAATTAATAAATAAACATTTTTTATTTTATTTTTTTTAATTGAACAAATATTTTAAATTGGATTTCAATGATTATATATAATTTTCTATAAATAAAAATTCACCATTGTATTAATTATAATTTTTGATTATTTAGATCTTGAAAATCTTTGATTTAAATAAAAAATCTTTTGCATCATTTGATTCCTTTTTTAATGTCACATTTAGAAATAATTTTATCGCAGGAATTTATAACAAAGTAATTCTAATAATTATAATACTGTATTCTAAATTTTATTATTCATAATATATTGTATACAGGCTTTATTTGTTATATGGGGTGTACTCATGTTTCGTAATTACTGTATAATCCTATGTTACGAGTAGTTTTAAATATAAATACTGTAAGAAATTCCATGTTAAGATCTGAATCCGATGTTGACAATAGTTTATTTGCACGTATGCAATCTACGATATTAAAAAATGTAGACGTCGAGAATATACAAACGCCCAAGATAGGAAAATGAATCCTCGCAGACTATTTATATTTAACTCTTTAAATTGTACCAGTTAAACCCATTCCCACAAATGGTACATCTCATATTACCACATCCACCATCTTTCTCAATTAATACTCCGCAGAAAGGGCATGATCTTGTGTGGTTACAGATGTAAAGCTTTGTTTCTTGATCCTCGCCATTTTTTATGAGATCATATTCCCTACAGGACTTACCTTCATGCCAGGGAATATTGTGAATGTAACAGAACGTGGAGGCACATTCGTGGCAATCAAGTTTTGAAGAGACTAACGTTTAGGATGTGTCGGAAAACCATGATAAGAAAAGAGAGATTTTTTCATAAGTTGATCGTTTGGTAAACAAAATATATTTTTTTTCTTCGCATAAGATGATACCTTCAAACTTGAATCTGGTATTCCCACATCCTGGCGTCAGACACGTGAAACGTGGAACATCAGCTCCCCGATTGAACGAAAATTCTTTGCAACTAGCGAAAGTAATAAATAAGAAAAAAAAGTAGCACATAATAAACCATATTCATTATGATACTTACCTTTCAAACAATTTCTCACTCATAAGACTCTTCAAGTCTTCAATGTCAAGTAATACTTCGCATTTTTCACTCGGACACTTGACCTTTACTTTTCTCTCGCCAAAAAAGTTTCTCTCTTTCGTATTTTCTATATATCACAACAGCCGTCATCAATTCTCTTTCCATATCAACTTATACTACTGTACTTTAATAGTTCAATTCTTACTTTGTTGAAATTCGCAAAGTCGATAATTTATATAGCGACCAATACAACCTTTACAAATATTTGGTCTATGTTTACACTCGGAAGATAATTTCTCGAATTTTTCATCATCACATTCATCGAGACACACAGCGCAAGATATCTTTTTTTTTTTGAGAAGTTGAACTACATGAGAAAAAGATACAGATTTTAAGCGATCCATCTTAAAAAAAGGTCAAAAAGCATCAGTAAACTATATTCACGATCAATTTATTAAACGTCTTGATGTCATTTAAAACTTGACAAGTCCCGTGTTAATGACATCAAGAATCATTTACGTAGAGATATTACGCGTGCCTTGAACCATTCATACAAGTAACGAGTATATAAAATTGCTATAGTGTGGCAGTATACATTCTTATCGTGCATTATAATATATAGACTATATTATTAAAGAAATAAAAAAAATTTTTTTTTAGATTCTCGATACATTTTTTATCTATAAGGATACGTTTATTTGGTCTCAAAATGATTTGATTCATTTTCGAATATAAATAGGACTTGCCTGGACCGATTAATCATCCCTAATAAGATACGGTAAATATTCCTTGATAATTTTCACGGCGTTTCGTTTATCGAAGAACTAAATGATTAAATATTTATCTGTTCTCAATTTACTATAACAATAATATTTTCATTTGCAAGTTTGAATTTGTTTAGACGAAAGAATGGGAATTTCTGGTTTTAACATTCCCCATAAAGGATTGATAGTGATGGCCACATTATATTGTAAAGGTCAACTTTAAGGATTCTATACTTTTCAAGGAAATTTAGGCAATCTGCCATTTATCGTAAGACAATGTGCGGCATTTTTTTATTTCTCTTCTTTATTACTAAATAATATATACTTCAATAATTTAGAAACTACTCTAACATTTAGACTATTCCCTAACAGTCTATGTTTTTGAATAATGCTAATATCATTAGGAAATTCCAGATATGCTGTTGTTTCGATTTTACTAGTGGGATCATATGGTTTTATCCGAAAGCAATTGGCATCCTCCTGTTCGGAAAATGAACTGTCGTCATTTTCTACCTTTTGGGATTCTATGGGGAATGCGTGTAATTTAGCCACCTCCAGAGGAGTAAAATATCTAAGACCTAGTTCAAGCAAGGATCCGGGATTTTCAAAATCATAATCCGTAACCTATCATTAACAAAATATATTTATATGTGTTACAAGCTCAGGTAAATGTAGCTGAATGCATTGATCCAATGTGTCGTTCAAAAATAAATCAAACCTCTAATCTTTTCGTTTGAATCAGAGATCCACTTGCAAATATATGGTGGCTACCATAGGACTAAGAAAATTTAGATAAGACCACTAGATAGAATTTCCACATTTTCCAATGTAAATACCTTTGTGAAACATGCACATTTCTTATCCGTTGGTCTCACAATATCTGTAATGTTGGAATCATTACAAAAAAATGGATTTAGACGAAACAACAATAATAATAATCCATACTTGCCAAATCTAAAATTAAAACTCTTTAAGATATATTTATCTGGTACCAGATGTTTTTTTAATTTATCTTCATCCAATGCATCTTCCAAATAAACCTCCAACGGTGGAACTCCAACCTCCTCATCGACATCTTGCCAACTCTGATGATGACATCCTGCATAACCATTTTTCAACATACATCGGAATGGCCACGATCTATGTATAATCGAATTTGCTATATATTCTTCGGGCGTCAACATGTTTGGAACAATATTTCTTCTTGCCATCAAATAATATCTTAATCGATCATTCGGAATTCCAAATTGTAAAGGTGTTAACAAGCATTCGTGAATCTCATAATTTGCTTTGCATAGTTGAATGATCAATTTTTCACGAGATCTTGACTTCTATTCAGGCAAAAGGGAATGATGAACGTTTTAATATCATTTAAAATTAGATTATATGAAAAGAAAGACGCAGTCACCTCGAAATTTAAAACATTTTCAAGAAAAATGTATTCTGGGGGTACCGATAATTCTGACAAGAGGTCAATTAAACGAAGCAACCCCTTAGCTCTTTGATCTTGATCATCCAAACCTTTACCCCCTCTCGTGTAAGGTTGACATGGTGGACTCAACAGCCAACAGTTTGCATTGTATTTCTCAATGTCATCAGTGCTCAAAGAATCAATACCTTTCTTATGAATACGTTAGTGTTTTTTTAAACAGTAAATAATTATTCAAGCTCTTACATTCAAATGTATTATAACATATATTCAAATTTACCGTTATTGGTGTTTGACCAAAATTATGTCGATATACCGAATTTGCTACAAGATTTATATCAAAACTGGCTACCACTTTGCCGTTGGGATAAGCTTGATTGAACGCATAATGCTTTCAAATTTTCCATAAACATTAGTTTTACGGGAATAAAAAGAAAAGAAAAAGAATCAAGTTATTTTTTCGAAATTTCTCACCAAACCACCTATCCCCGAGAAAAATTCGAGACATCTGATGTGTGGATATGCGGATTGCCTAAAATCTTCCATAAGCACCAAATCCTGTGTGGATATGAATCAATTTATCTATGATCGTCATGGTTATCATGTGATCAAAAATCGTTTTATGAAAATGTTAACTTATATGATAATAAAATTTTATTATTGGATATGTAAAAAAAAAAAAAAAAAATTAATAATAATAAAAAATAATAATAACAATTATTATGAAATCATTCAATATAAGTATTAACAAAACTTTAAAAAAATTTTGTGATCCATATTTCAACTACCTAAATTTTATAATATAATTACAATTTGAAAAATAATATTTTAATAATAATAATAATAATAATAATAAATTTTTGTTTATTATATTATCAAAAAAGATGTTTAAAAATTTTTTATGCATTGATTGATAATCTTATAACTATTTTTTTATAATAAAAAATCATACAGTAAATTATAACTCATATTTATTTTAAAACTATAAAAAAAAAAATCTCTAATAAAAAATTATTTATCAAATTTTGTTAAAAATAATTAACTTGATAATAATCATGTAATAATGATAATATCATTATGATCATTAATTATTTTTAATATTTTATTGATCTATGTTTGATGGACTTACTGTATGTATCTAGATAATTTTATAATTAACTTTTTGTTATTGTTATTGTTATTATTGTTGTTGTTGTATAAAATGTAAAATTTTTAAATGGTTGTCTCTCTTTTTATTTGTAATACATCATGCAATGTTTTATTTATACTTTAATATACAGTGCTATATATGTTCTTTATACTTTAAAATATCTATATATTGTATATACAGTATATATTCTTTATATTATAATATATCTATACTTTAATATATCCATGTTGATACAGTATTTATTCTATAGATATATACAAGTACATATCATTATATCATTTTATATCTTGTTGATTAATTATTAATTAATGAAATTTGATTTATCTTTATCTTATCACACCGCACTGCGATTATGATGATAAATCGTAGATACGGGCCGATATTTTAATATATGATTTTTTTCTAATTGCACACTTATGATCGATTTCAAGGAAGTCCTTTTCCTATTTAATATAATCCTTATATATACTATTAGATGGGGTGTATGATTTTAACTGCGCCGTTCTTTTGTTACTGTATTCGGATAGCGGAATTTGTTGCATTGTGAAACAAAAGTTGGCGTATATAATAAAGATCACGTGATAATGTAAAGCCCAAAACGAGACACTTGTAATGAGCTCGGCTATGTCGGAAGTATTTGTATTTTTTTTTGACAAAGAGTTATATATTCCGACAACAATCGACATTTTTCTAAAGTCTTTCAACACTTGTCGTTTTTATTCATGAAACGAATATGCACACCCTTGTATTTACGAACACAATCGTTTTTTTCAAAGTTGTAAAATACATTATACGCGTCCCCAAGATCAAAAAAATAAAAAAATCCTTTCACCATGCATCCTATTACGTATTTACGTTTTCAATATCTTATAGATTATTATATACGCTATGTTCGCATAACAACGTCCGTCTGATTTTTTTATTTAAACCTTCAAAAAAACGCTATTCCTCACAGATTTCACTTTGCTTTTCTTTATTCTTTCTGGATCCCAATTCACCACTTCAAATTAACACCTATACATTAAAAGGCAATGCCTCAAAAAAAATATCCCGGGAATTATAATGACTCTACCCAGATTCCTTTCAAAAAGCCGCCGTTTCCTCCTAATATAGATCCTACAGAGATGGCAAAAAAACGTACTAAATCGCAGGATCCCAGAAAAATCAACTCGAGGGGTCCAAATTGCTTCATGGTGTATAGATCGTATTGTACATCGATCAATGGTAGGATTCATATGGCCAAACTATCAACGGCTATCGCCAAGTCGTGGGAAGACGAACCTCCGGAGGTCAAAACCCACTATAAAAAACTTGCTAATTTGATTGAGTATGAATTGACTAAACAAAGGAGATGTAATGAGATTCACTTCCTCTGGTGTGAAATGCAAGGCAAAACCTCCGAAGAAAAAAATCTCGATAAGGTGACTACTCCAACAAATGTCATCCTTGAATTAGACACGCAAGGAAATGATTATGGAGTCAATGAAACCAGGACACGTGAACTTTTAGACTACGAAATCTGGGATCCCTTTGTTTACAAACCGTTAGAGTTATTTCCATGTCCCTTTCATCAAATGTTTGCGTGTCCATGTCAATATAGTGTGTTCTATGAAAATATTGAAAATCTATCTTGAAGGTGAACATTTTATGAATACTGAAATATGCTATGCAGCCAAAATAATGCGAAATTATATGTTGAAATCCATCATTGATACTTAAGAAATTTTCAGTCCTCTAATCACGTTTTAACGACATTCAGTATATTTACGAAATCCAAATACTTTCGACTCAAACCTCTTAAATAAGCTGCAGTTTTATGGTTAAGAATAAAGTTGTGATAATTAAGGTACAGTAAACAAAAAATGCGAAAATTAAACCCTGCACAGATAAAAAAAAACTTTTTATCCTATTCAATAACATTACCTTCTTCAATCAAATAAAACGATTTATGAAACTAGTCAAGCGTTAGAAAAAATATTAAGAAATAAGCTTACGAAACTTTGAATAAAAATTAAGATTTCAGATATTTTTTTATTATAAGAATAAGATAAAATAAAATTATTGAAAATCTGTATAAAATGAATATACAGTATATTTATAAAACAATGATAATTATACAGTAGTAAATACAGTGCATATAAGCTAAAATACTGCAATGATTTGGATCTTTTTTTAAAAATTAAAAATATAATATTTAAAATATGTACATATACAGCGGCTCGCAAAAGAAATGCACCACTTGAACAAAAAAATTTTAAATGGTATATTTTATTAATCATGAGAGAAATTCAAA